GTAGCTAGAGGGGTCCAGGGGTTCCTCATCCTCAAGCAATACAGGAATACCATCACAGTGGAGATGTTCCTGAACCCACGTCCCTACAAATGATACTCTTTTACACCATTCTGTTTTCTTATACTGAATCAAAACGAACTGTTACCATTGTCTGTGTTTTTTTCTGGGGGGGGGGCAATTTCATTAAAGCAAATTGACACACCGATCCCCTCGCTTGATGCCATCACAGGATGCTTACTGTTCTATGTCCTTCCTTCTAGAGTCACAAGGATTGTTGCAAATGGGAAACTTCCAATTTTAGCAGCAAGTTATTGTGGATTTTGGCCCCCGTCCATGGCAATTTGATCTCCCAATATCTTCTAGTATGTTCAATTTTATACCCTTTATTATTTAAAGAGCAGTATCTCCCACAGTGCACACTTCCCTGGATTTTCTATAATGTTTATATCCAGGAATGATTATATCCCACTGATTCTGCCTGTTTCACCAGGTTTCTGTTACACACACTACATCTATGTTTTTATACACAATCAAGTTCTTTAATTCTCCCATCTTGTCTTGGCTCAGAGACTTCTAGCCCTTGAAACTTCTATGTACCATCTTATTTTTCAAATCCTGTTGAAAATGTTTTCACTGTTTTTTTGTTTCTTCTTTGTCTCCTGATGTCTATCCATTAACCTAATTCCACGTTGACTATATTCCTTAAAGTCTAGATCTATCTCCATATATAATATTTGCTTAAAAAGGACACGTTCATGCTACATATTTTGTTTTGTTACAGTTTCTTGCCCTTCTTGAAGGAGAAACTATGAGCTGGGGATTCCTGCGAGATATTCTAAGCGGTGTAAATAAATACTCAACAGAAATTGGCAGAGTCTGGCTGGCTATTGTGTTTATATTTCGTCTCCTTGTCTACGTTGTAGCTGCTGAACACGTCTGGAAAGATGAACAGAAGGAGTTTGAGTGTAACATTAGACAACCTGGCTGTGAAAATATCTGCTTTGATCATTTCTTCCCAATTTCCCAAGTGAGGCTTTGGGCCTTGCAACTGATTATGGTCTCTACCCCATCACTTTTGGTTGTTCTCCATGTTGCCTACCGAGAAAGCAGGGAAAAGAGACACCGAACTAAGCTGTATAAAGACCTGAAAAGTATTGATGGGGGATTGCTCTGCACCTACCTCATCAGCCTCCTTTCCAAAACTGGATTTGAAATAGGTTTCCTCTACTTGTTTCACAAGATCTATGGAGGATTTGACGTACCCCGCGTTGTGAAATGTGACACACGTCCTTGTCCTAACACAGTTGATTGCTACATATCCAAGCCCACTGAGAAGAAAGTTTTCCTGTACATTGTGGTGGTGACATCCTGTTTGTGCATAGCCTTAAATATAATTGAATTCAGCTATTTGATTTTCAAATACTCAATCAAATGCTGTTTCAGAAGTTACACCAAGAAGGTTCGAAACTCCAAATGTGAACATAAAAAAACAAATTCTATGGTTCACAATGGTACCACTGTATCTCTTGACCAAGATTCACCCAATATCCAAGGGGGAGATGAAAAAAATGTGGGTCATCACCAAGTATAACAAACAAAAGCACTCAATTGTAAATCAAGTATATTTTCGTTAACAATAGAGCTTTAGATAATAATAAGAGTCTGAGTATTTTAACCAACATGCTGTATATTTAGGTTTTTCCACACACGATGTAAGGTTTACCAAATTTGTTTATAACTGGCATCTCCTTCTAATGGATTTATAAGCATTGGTGTTTCTTAAGTTTCAATAACTTAAGTGGTGACTTCCAATTTTTTGGTGCAATTCTTTTGAAACATCTATTTTCATTCTTGAAGATTTTTGAAGGGATAGTAATTCAGCTTTCCCCATCCTGGCAATTCCCAAAATTCCCAGCCAGCAAGGCGAAAGGAGTCGCTGGAAACCTAGGAGTTTCAGGCCCAGGAAAGTTCTGCATTCTGTTAAGATGAGCCCCTTATTGGGTCACCATGTAATGGAAAACTATGTCTAATGGCAGAACCTTATTTGTTCAACCCTTTTCCAACATGCAACATTTTATCTTGTTTAAAGATGCTTTCAACTGTATTAGTTTTTACTTAGTCTTCCACCTGCAGTCATTTATTTCTAATGTGAATTATTAATTAGTTCTTCCCTTGTGTATAATTCTAAAGTAGTGTACAAGTGTGTGCGCGTTCTTTCCTGTCTTTTGTCCTTGTAAGTAATTGTAACTTCCTCACCCTATCTTGGCTTTACTGATGCATGTGTGTGTTATTCATTTATTTGATTTAAAGGCTGCCCAACTCCAGAGTGACTCTGGGTAACTTACATTTTAAAAGAGTAGAAAAACAAAGATAAAGAAAAGAATTCATATACAGTACTGTGCAAAAGTTTTAGGCAGGTGTGAAAAAATGCTGTAAAG